GTGTGTGTGTGTGTGTGTGTGTGTGTGTGTGTGTGTGTGGTTTCCTCCTTGCTGTATGTTAGCAAAGTTTTTTCTAATAGTGTCATGAAATCATGTGAACCTGACTTATCTGTCTACCCACTGTTATACCTCCGTACAGTTAATACAATTTGTTATAACTGTCTTATTAGTTGTTTGTTGTTCATACACCTAATCACAATTATTACCCTATTGTTCAACAAGGAAGTGGTAAAGCACAAGACAATTTGTAACACAAAGTGTTTGTGTCACTTATTTTCACACCTCACACTGAAGTATGGTGGTTGGTGGTTGGTGGGGGGTGTCTGAGGTAGCTTGCTGGTCTGCGTTGAGGTGTCGTAATCCCATGTGCTGCAAACTTGAGCCCAGGTTGCATTTAAAAAAAAGCATAAAATAGTTGCCAAACTTCTTGTGTGAGTTTGCTCGCTTGTGGCGACCCCGTTGAGGGGAGCGGCCGAAATAAAAACCACAACAACACCGACGCGCAGTGTGGAAGGTGCATTTATACCAGCAACTGATCAGAGCTCTGTGAGGTGTTCCAAACTGGGGATGTTGTTTTATGACTTGCCTTAAACTTCTCCGTGACCAGTCTGGTTTGTTCCTTTTTTCTTCATGATGCTGTTTGATCACTAATATTTGGGAACAAACCACAGAGGCCTTCACACAACAGCTGGATTTAAACTGAGATTAAATTACTGACATTTTAGCAAATCACCCTGCAGGATAGTGTGCACAGCTAACTAACAGGACAATCACACATGACAGACAAACTTGGTTTGGACAAAGAAGATAAAACAGAGAGGAGGGATGATGAAGACACTGGAGATTCTCCAAAAAGACTTTAAACAGAAAGAGTTGCGCCCAGGGGATCTTGATAATAATAATGAAAAAAGATTCAAAAGAACTGGACACAGTTGTATTCAGTGACCCACTCTCCTGCATGTTTTAACTGTTTCCCTGCTTCAACACACCTGATTCAAATCATTAAATTATCCTCTCAGAAGGTCATCATGTTCAGCAGAAAGCTGTCAATCACTTGTTTCAGTCATGTGTGATGAAGCAGGGAAACATCTAACACATGCAGGACAGTGGGTCATGAGGAACATGGTTGAAGACCTCTCTACTAAGCTTCAGCATTCAGCCTGTGTCCACAGTTTCACTCTCCAGCTCAGGAGGAGGCAATCATGTTAATTTTTTTATCAATCTTCTATTTAAAAAATAAGATGTTTGTTTTTCACCAGACGTTCAACACAGTTTTTGTGTCCTTGTAGTCTTCAAGTGATAAATAAATAGTGAAATTGTGGATAATGGCAAATCTTACACGGCGTCTCCTTGTTTGTTTTCTTTTTCTGGCGCCACCATTTATTGGGGAGTTTTATCAACGTTGATGCGCTGATGGTTCTCACAGTTTACAGGGTCACAGAGTCCTGCACTGCATATCATCAACCACAATGAAAAAACTGGTACACCTCCTGGTACAGATGACAAAAATTATCATACCCCTTACAGACAGTTGACATTTGACCTTATGTTCTGCATTAGAAAATCTAAAGTCTCTGCAACTGTGGTTTTGACTTTTTAGTGGTGAAATTGTCACCAAGTAGGGATGTCCCGATCAGATACTGGTCAGATCAGATCAGATCAGTATTGGTGGCAGATATGGCCATTTTTTGAAAATAGGGTAGTATCGGATTTAGTCATGTGATCGGGCCGATCCAGTTTTTGCAACAGTTTTCAGCATCATCATGCTTTACAACTGCCTTTAAGAGGTCAAAACGCAGAGTGTCCACAGTGTGGGAACATTTTTCAATAGAAAACAATGATGCTGAAAATGCATCTTGCAAAACTGGATGTTTCTCGTGGTGGGAACAGCAGGGCTTGCTTTAATACTACCAACCTTGTCACTTGGGCAGAAATAAAGCTATCGGATTGGTATCGGATCGGTATCGGAAAGACTAATCATTAAAAAAATTGTTTTGTATCGGGAGCCAAAAAATCAGGTTTGGGACATCCCTATCACCAAGTGAATTTACCCCATGAAGCAAATATCTGCCTATTTTTGTCACTAGTGCCCCACAGAGGGAGCTTTAGTTTAGGTGGAAACATTTTCAAAGCATGAATTGTGTGATCTTTAGACACCAACCAGACCAAACACACAAACTAGAGATGAAAGTCTAAATTGGCTGCCAGTGTTCATAAAAACACTGTTACGTAGCTCCATTGATTATTTCTTAGGGATTATTTTATTGAGATTACAACTGGTTGCGATTGGTGAAGACATCGAAGAGCTATTCTTGCATAGTGGTGGTGGGTACTATTTCTTGCACATGGGTGATGATGTGAGCTCTGATGCTGATTACCCAATATAGTCTATTCCTAACTGGTCTTTCAAGTGTCAGAGCAAATTTTTTATTTAATTTTATTTTTTAGTGTTGTTTGCTCAATTATTGATTTAGAGTAGGACTGCACGATATTAGGAAAACCTGCGATGTACAATAACAGTGCTTAAAGTGTATCTT